TCATATGATTTTATAAGGATTTATGACCTATATGAATATGCAGAGACTTTATATATATGGAATTGATATATAATGGAATTCATAAAATCTCAGTTACAGAATGAGGCAGACAGCTTTTAAACTCGCACCGAGCTGAGCTGTAGCTTGAGTGGGATCATCATGCAGCCACTGTCAGGAGCAAGAAACAACATGCAGATGATATGCAGCACGTGCGGGCTTATACACGGCGTTCGATCTACCGCTTTCGTTTCTTTTATGTTCATCATTACCTCACAATCGTAAGACTCGCTGCTGAAATCACGCTGTCAGTGACGAACTACCTCAGATATCTCGATTACTATTCGCGCCATCTCCAAAGTTCGAATAGTCTTAATTTTCACTCATTAAGCCCCTATCGGCTTAATGAGTAAGGCTTGGGCTGGACGGATTGGAAACTCAAATAACAAGCTTATTTAAATGTATTAAAGGTAAACGGCAAAATATTGCAAAACAAATCATAACGAATTATTTTATAAACGGATGCGAAAATATAAACTAAGAAAATTAACAAATCCGATATGAGAGCTATAATAAATCGAATGCGCGAAGAGAGCTAGAGAAAGGAGTTTCGAGATTAAACGCATGATTCTAAAGCAGAAAACAAAAGTAAACCTACGCATAACAAATCAATATGTTCATACGGTATTTAGCAGGTATTCAAATCTCCCACTATTTCACGCAACAACTCACCCTGGCGTCAGAGACAAAATCCTTTAAGAGAGGAACCGGTACGCCTGTCAAGATCAGCAGCTTAACTGACGGCTACTACAAATTTAATGACCACGTCAAAGCTGGTCGCGCTTAATCTTAGCGGTGCGATTGCCAGTGGTGGGAAATGTGCATACTAATACATTACTCTGTCGTACTGAAAATTTTTTGAACATAATTAAGGGTAGAAATATCAATAATACATATGCATATTTGTTTGAATGTTATCGCGTCAATTAAGAACAGCATGATGGAAGACTACGTTTGACTGGAAACCATTTACGCTACACAGGGCAACTGTACGACAATTTTGTATTGTTCAGTAAGAAATTTCAAACATATTGCCATGGTCAAGTTTATTTTAAATAATGAAATTACGGTTAGATGCACATTTCATTTCTTATGAATTGGAACGTTGTACCGCGAGTATTTCGGTCAGTCGAAAATGTAAGCCATTCTAAATAAAATTACAGATCTATATTCATAAATTTTACAACAAAACAAACCTCCCAAAGCTAACTTACAAGACAGAAATAATTAACTTTTATGAAGTATTTCTTTATATTTATAATTCAAGGATTTAGTTAGAAATACAATAAGAACTTTTTTTCTTCTGCTATAAGAATAACAAATTTACGGTAATTGAGCTATTAATTTCTTTTTTTTATTTAAATTCACTTTAATTAAGCGCATTAAACTGCTATAATTTTATTGAAGACAGAAAAATTCATGATCAAATCATCTCCAATACTTGATCATAAATAAGCCATATGAATGTTCAGGAGAAATCGTTCCCTACCATATTAATACGGTATTATACAAAAAGAAATTGCTGGAACTACTTTAACATATGTGAGGTTCTATTCGTCTCTGTTAAAGTTCATGCAATGAGAAAACAAGGCCCGGCCACTGAACTTAATGTTTCAACTATGACACGAGTAGCTAATGTTTCTGTGCGAGTTAGTAACCAATATTGTGCCGCATCGCACAAAGAGTTCCGACAACTCTCCATGCATCACCGCTCTCCGCAGGTAATACTTTGAGCCATTAATACGAAACATACTGAATTTCAAACATAATTGGATGCCGCAATTGCATGGCGCATTAGTTGTTGAATATTGCATGGCGCAAATAAAAATCAAACAAAATTTTCCCTAACATTGATGCACGTTTTAACAAAACTTATTGTAAAAATTGTGAAAAATTTCCTACTGGGAAAAAAAGACGTAGAGACTTAGCTTCAGCCAGTCTTTCAAGGCCTGACTATAAATAGTTTCAGGAGAATCGAGCGAATCGACCAGCTGGTCGTTGCAGTTCAATTCACGAAGTTATTAATGCCCGGAGTTCAAAGAGGCCCGGCACTGCCCTCTGTGGGCGCGTATGACAAGCCATTAGTCTCTCCGGCGTCACTGAATGCCCTCGCGTTTGCAGGCCCCAATTCACAGTCAGAGTATCCACGGAAGTCATCAAACCTACTAGTATATTGACTAGTCTGCACTTATGACGGACAGTCTAGCGGTGCAAGTTAATTGAGTAGTCTATACTTACGGCGGACAGTCTAGCAGTGCAAGTTAATTGAGTAGTCTGTACTTATGGCGGACAGTCTAGCAGTGNACGGATGATAGTCTAGTAGTGCAAGTTAATCGAGTAGACTGTACTCACGGATGACAGTCTAGTAGTGCAAGTTAATCGAGTAGACTGTACTCACGGATGATAGTCTAGTAGTTCAAGTTACTTGGGTAGACTGTACTCACGGATGACAGTCCAGTAGTTCAAGTTAATTGGGTAGACTGTACTCACGGATGATAGTCTAGTAGTTCAAGTTACTTGGGTAGACTGTTCTCACGGATGACAGTCCAGTAGTGCAAGTTAATTGGGTAGACTGTACTCACGGATGATAGTCTAGTAGTTCAAGTTACTTGGGTAGACTTTGCTTGCGGAAAGAATGGTGCTGATACATACAATGTATTGGGTTGACTACATGGAAATACCGAAACTATTCTGAGTTTACATGGGCGTGTGTATGAATTTTTTGCATACAAACGAGAATTGATTGTTGAAAGAATTGATTTTTGTTTGCTTCGTTTAAAATTTATTTGCAGCACTGATTGAGTAAAGTTGATTCCTCGAATGAGATGTGTGAACGTTCCGAAGAAAAAATAGAATTGAGGATTACGCAAATGTGAAATGTATTAAAAAGAAGATATGAAAAACCGTGCGTCAAATAGCTTCTTATGTGGAATGAGACAGAAAATTAATTAATTCACTCACATGCTATGTGACGCAGTAAATGAAAGGACATGGAGGATGTAAAAAATTCGAAGGCTTAACTTCGTAAGGCTTTGAGCTCACAATTCAATTACCCGAGGTTGCGCAACATTCCCCTGGGAGTTGACTAGCGGTTGGCTTGGCAGCGGTGGGCAGCATAATGCATTTGGCGATTATACAGCAAATTACTTCACTAGCATGGCCCCCCTGTGTGCTTATTTGCCCATGTTAGAAGAAGATAATTCGATTTATATAGAAATTGCCTCTAATGCATGGTTGTAATGAACAAATGGTAAGCTGATCCTGAGAGCAGGTTAGCCATTTGTTCTTTTACCAGAGTTTGACTTTTTTTTAGATTGAGATTGTATTAGACAATACCTTTTCACAGAATTTTTCTTCACTTAATTACTCTGAACCTAGTCCTGTTCTATGCAGCGAAGTATTAAATAAGTAAAAAGTTCTACGCAGCGTCATAATCAACATTGATCACCATTAGAATCTCTATAAATTTTTAATGAAACTGAACATAAGAAGAAGGCAACAGAGGCTAAAAAACACATTTTTAGGCGAATCATCTAAATTTAGGGTAAAAACAAAATCGAGCTATTTTGCGTCAAGAATGGATAACAAAACGTTGGAAATTCAGGACTTGTCCATGAGGAATGTTTCCAATATAGAGCCAACTATTTCAGTAAAGTATTTTTTTATAAATTTATCTGAGCATACTCGCAGTTGACTGGATCGGAAACTATTGCGAATTAATAATCTCAAAGTCAAAAAATTTACTATGTATGAATTTTCGCAACGGAAATGAAAATCAATTGAATAAGAAGCTAGATACATATACTGTTTTAGGAATTTCAAACAATCAAGTATATCGGTAAATCCAGTTTTAGTGGCGAGTAATATGCACCGAGTTGCGGCAACAGCTAGTCAATGGCTGTCGACAAATTGAAGTGCATTTGTCGCATATGCCGCAGTGTTAAAATGCTCTGCATCGAAAATATAACTTTTTGTTCGGAATGAACAACAAAAATTATAACTTTGCCAGGGAAGAATGAAGCTTAATTACAGGTGACGAGCATAAATAATAAAAATTTCCCATCATTCCCATATGAACAGAAGCCATTTGCTGCCCAAATTATGATAGATTCGATGATTTTTTCGGCCCTTAATCTATAACGTCATAATCAACTCATTTTCCTCAGACATGAAAATTTAAAGAAATTAATTTTTTTGGCAGCGACCCATTATTGTAAGAAAGAGCAAATCTGTTTACGTCCCGCCTCTACCAGCAACTCTGTTTACGTCACGCATCTACCAACAACTCTGTTTACGTCCCGCCTCTACCAGCAACTCTGGTTAATCTGAAGAACCGTATCACTGCTACGGCACTCAGTAACAGAAGATATGCTATATTGTTCGTGGGACGAGTTTGGCTACCGTTAAGATATTTAATTGCCATGCAAAAGTGAACATGTTGAATATATATAAATATGTAAAGAAAATTTAATCTTTGTATTTCCATTGTTGTATAAATTATTCATTTCGAATTTATTCTTGAATAAATGCGCATTTATAAAATTGGGTCATTATTTAAAATAACTCTGCATTACGTGATCAAGAAAATTTCGCAAATCATTGAAATGAATCCGTACTTGCGATCAAATAATCACGCTCACGCTCACCGAACACAAAATTACATTCATTATACAGTTGGACAATAATTAAAATTGTAAGTAACAATTTGCCGCGCTTGGTAATTGGGGATTTAGTGACTGCATTGAAATGGAGAGACAAATATAACAGAAAGAATACTAACTGTTAGAAGAAATAGAATTCAGCTTAGTAAAAGATAAATCCTCGGTTTAAAAAGGACAACATATAATGTGACAAGTATAGGCAAAATTGTGTTATAAGGTCGAATTAATGAGAAACAATCAGCTGAAGCGCCAGAAGGCACTCTGTTTGAAACTCAAACTTACCTTTTCAAATTCACAGAATTCGACTTGTCTGCGGAGAGTTTCGAGGTAGTTGAGAGCGTTGATGTAGTTCAGGGCGTATCTGTGATACGCCTGACACAGCATTGTTGCCTTCGAGCCCTGCAAGCATAATCAATCATATAATGTACAGGAATATTTTTCTCATAAGATAATCATAGGAACATAAATGCTAATATGAAAACCATCACATTACACAAAGTCCACAATTGATCTGACTCTTTTTTATCAGATGAACAAAGATCCAAACATTAAGCCAGCCAGAGAAGAGTAGTAGCATCAGATGAAGTAGTTTTGCATCAGATGAAAAAATATATAGAGTCTTGAGCCCAGTTTCATTTTGGAAAATGATCAAACGAATAAACTTCATGCATAGCGTGTGATTATCTCTCTTTGGTCTTTTTTCCCGTACAGATAAACGAGATTTCAGGCAATTCATAATAAGTTTTTCTAATAGATGTCAACAGTGTGATGTATCCCATCAACTTGAGTGCTACTCCTGTCCAAATTGCAATAAAAGTTTTTCGACATTTCAGCCGATGTTGCTCAATATCAATGAAAGTTTTTATGATCAAACTAGAACTCGCATAAAATGAATAACTGTTTTTCTAAAGCAAACGGTATTGTTTTAAACTTGTTTCTTAATTATAATTCCCAATAGACGGAGTTGATGAATACATCAATGGATTACAGATCAGAAAAAACGTATCTTGTACAACTTTTAACTAAAATATGGGCCTTCGCTCATCCGAAATATAATTCTTAACCAACGTGAAAATTGTTTACGAAAATGAATTTCGCTGCTTTCTTCGCCTATTAGCATTGGTTCATATATGTGAGGTTCACATAACGTAGATATAAAATATCGAAATTTTAGGCAGATCACACGAAATAAAAATATTACTTAACGAAGTAAATTTTTAACAGACGTGTGAAAAATGATTTGTGTAAATAGAATCACTATTTTAAGGTTCAAGAACCGTGTTTCATATATGAAATATTTTCCCCAATTGAAAGTCCATAGAATAATTAAAATACATATGTCCTTTTCTTGTTCATTTTGATTTTTTTCAATGACTTGCAATTAATTTATGATATAAAAGACTTTTCAGTGACAGTTTAGAAATTCGGTTAAAGTAACTTCCTAAATAATAAGTAATTTTTAAAATTGACCTTTCTGAAGAGTTTGACGAGGACTTTGGTGGTGTCCAGTTGGCCTCCAGGCGCCTGATGCAGTTCCAGCAAATTGATGAACTCTTTGCAGAATGCGTAAGTGACCTGAAAATTAAATTCGTGATCGGAATTAATTATTTGGCAGGGCGATACTGAAGTTAACTGAACAGAAAATTACTTCAACAGAACCATGCCAAAACATTCAACAACTAAACTGGAAAGATTTGGTTACCTGTTATACGTTAAGGAGTTTTCAAGTAATAATTAAAAAATACTCAATTTCACACGCTTTCGTGACGCATTCAAGCATGAATTTTCCACTCATATTAAGTCAAACACAAATCAAACACACTCGACAGTTGGAATTATTTTTTAACTAAGTAAGACAATCTGACCTTCTGAAACACACGCCCGTATTTGATTTCGAAATTATTTTGTTTTGTACATCAAGTTGAGCTACAAAATAAATTGCGTTCGAAATGCAGAAACTAAAAAAAATAACTGGGAAAGAGTTCTTCCAGTTGTATATACTCTTCATAATTTGTTACAGGTGAGCAGGTTAACATTATGATTTTAATTCGGGATTCCGTAATAATTACCTTTAAAACGGTATTTTAATTTGTTATTCACAAGAAATGTCGATGTATGTTGTTCGCAGCAGCGGCGAGCCGACGCTGAGTTACCATTCCCTATTCACTAATGCGCCAGATTTAAATTCAGCCATATTGGTCCTATCAATTTCTGCGGTCGCATATTAGTTATGGTAATTAATGCTTCAAAATTGTTCATAATTTAAGCAGTCACAACCAATTTTGTCACATTGTTCCCAATTACTGCAGTCGTCCAGTTCACAAATGATGCAGTTGAACAGCCCATAATAAAGGTTGTTAATTATTTCGGAATAAATTCTATCATATTGTTCATGTGGGAGCATGAGCTCGTTCATTGTCATGCAAACGAGCGTCTCCAACATGAATAGGAACAAGAGAACGATTTAAACTCATATAATTCATATTAGTTAAGGTCTATTACTAAGTACGTATTATTTATGACACGTATTCTATGAATCACATAAGTGATGACGTTTTTCTCGAACTACAAATGCCAATGCTATTTGCTTACAGGAAAGCCAGGTTATCAATCATATAATTACAGAATCTCATTATTTAAAAATTTCATTTTTTTCTCGTCCTTAATCCAGTTTGCGATGATAAATCTCATGTATGCCATTAAAAAAAAACAAAAATAAACATTTTACATACATGGCATGGGGCATAGAACTCCCGTTTGATTCTCGCCCTCAAGTCAATAAAATTGTTATAAAATCGATTAGAATAAATAGAACGGAAAAATAAAGTACTTCGTCACCCGCGCATCTCAATATCAATCAACTGATTAGAATTTTCGACGTTGATTTTGAAGAGGTGGGAGTGAGTCAACAAATTAAAGCAGATGTGGCCGGTCGAAGAATCGGCGACTTGCCTGCTTGAATGGTTGAATTTTTCAAGCGTCAGAACCTCATCAGTCCCAACTAACTAGCTAATGCAAATTAGTAGGCTGAGTAACATTTTCAGAATACATTGACATAGCTTAAAATCTGCCTGACCAAAGTGGCTAAAGCTCACCTCAGTTTATATAGGCTATAAGCCTAAAACTTGGAAATTTGAATATACATGTAAAACAAAAGATTGAGAATGTTTTGAAAGCTGCCCCCCGGGGGAAAGTCACGGTTGTCGGCGTCATTGACTGGCTGACGTTGAATGCACCGATAGAAAGGGTATTCGAATTTAAACACAAAAATTATTCATACAAGAGCTTCCGTCTCCCAATAATGTACTGCCCGCTTTTCCGAACGATCGATAACCTCGTTCCGAGCTTCTCATGTTTATGGACGTGCTCAGTTTGCTGCTTCTATTCGAACAGTAAATAATGTGTGCAGTTGGGCTTATTTGACTACATTTGCCTGGCAAGGCGTTCGGTTTACATGGTAAATCCTCAGCATGATATATTCATCAAATAGTACGCAATCTTTCACTTTTTATAACTATAGTAGGGAACAACAGGCACTTTAAAGTATTTCGAGGAAATGATGGAGGTGTAATTCAGCTTTGGAGAGTATCAGTATCAATTGAAAAAGGTTCCAAAGTAGAATTAATCAAGTATCATTAATTTATTTTACCTGAAATTTGAGATTGATATACATTTAGGCTCGTAACGTAATATCGAGGATGTTCAGCTGATGGAAGCTTCATCTTCTCCTTATAATTCATGAGTGTTTATAATAATTCAATATAATAATTTCATAGCGTTCACATGCAGGGCCAAAATATACGAAAAGATTCTGGTTTGATGTAATAACGCGATGGCCCTCTGCTCTCAAAGGGAGAATTAAGACGCAGACAATGCACCGCCGGAAGCCTACTATGGCTCTCTAGTTTCTTCAATTGCATTAAGAGTCATAAGAAGCCGAGGCCGCTCTCACATGAAGCTCCAAATTGCCTCGTCCACGTAGCTCGGAAAAACTGCTCTCGCTAAGACTATTTCTTTATAGAAAACTACACTATAAAGACTATTTCTTTATAGAAAGAAAATTACTCGATTCCCTCTCGCATCACACGTTAAAACTAATATTTCATTATATGCATCCAATATTTTTATCATAACTATTAATATTATTTATTAGTAAAATATGTATTGATTCAATTTCCGTACAGACAATCACAATAAAATGTACCAGGAGCATTTATCGTGATAAATACATTTTATCACACTAAAATGTATTCTGATAATTTTAAACTGTATCGCAATTGAATTTAAGGCACATCCTATTCGTACTAAAAATTTGTGCGTTTTTGTTTTGGGGGTCGGCGCTGGAAATATATAAGGGCTGTTCGGGTGCGTATATACAATACACTTTGTGTAGAGATATTCATCGGACATCGTTTCAAGGTTAAATTATAAGACATTTCAAGGCAGGGAGAGAGAAGACGAATTATTCAATTCAAATGCCATTTTTAATTTATCACGTTAAATTTTATTATAATTCCATAAAATATCAATATAATATAATAACTTTAAATAAATAACTCTAAATAAATATGTATATAATACAGCTCGTTGCAGTGATTAAAGCGTCACTAACGCCAGGTCAACTTGTCATTTTCAATAAGTTCAAATTCCATTTTTTCAACCGCAGCTCTCGTTTTCCAGTTATTCCCTCATTATGATTAAAATATGTCAAGCCTACATTATATGTCGACAACATATGCATCGTGGACATTCGATTTAATTACCGCTATATATATTGTCAGAGCTTGCCTTGAAACTCTCTCACAAACACACAATCAAACTAATAAACAACAAAATGTAGCAAATGGTATAAACTCAAATTATAATGACCTGCAATTGATGATTGTTCCATTTGTAACGGATGCTACATGGCACATAAAAGTGACAGTGAATTTTTCCATATTTTCTTATTATAAAATTGTCATTACCATAATTAAACTGAATTTTTAACTCGGGGGAAATAATTTCATTAGTGAATGAGTCATTCAGCGACTTAAAGGGAATATGAACAAAAAATAAACAAGTACACATAGCGAATACGATGATTCCAAAATTTTAACGCAATTCGATGCACTTCTTGGCCTTGTTCCTTAAAATACAGCGTGTACAAGGCACAGCTTAGTAATAATTATTGAATAATTCAATAATACTGCAGGAATGAATCGCCCAACTAACTTTCTACTTTACATTTCTAGAGCCTGACACGAAAGCCGAATGAGTGCAAGCCCTATAGTTCAGCCCTTGTTGAGCAATATTCGATTCTAATTTCTCATCGTAAAAAACACTAGGACCATCCTCAAGACAGCCATCTCGTCAGAAATATTTTATTTGACTTTCGTTATATCTTTGCTAGCATGCAGAAGATCTCACAGCTTTAAGCCATCTTGTGCAAATACAAAGTTTGAAGCACTTCCAATTCCTAGCTCACTCGCAGACTTCCTACTTTTTCGACAGAAGCTCTGATGGTTGACGGTAATGCAAAATTCATGCAGAATTGATCATTATTTTGATCTCATTCATGAACGTTAGGTCACTTTAACGACAGATGAAGTAATATTGACTTTATTTGATCAAGCTCTTTATTAAAAATTCATTTTCGCTGCTGATCAAGCACAAAACGCTCAATCTCCATCATCCCTGCAGGTCATAAAAACGTCAGTCGTTTTTGTTTGGTCGTTTTTGCTCGCTCGCACTAATTTAACGTCTCTTTAGTCGAATTTTATGAGAAAGATAATCAATCTGTACGATGTTGAAGACTCGTACGTACGCCATGCTTTTCTATGCACTTTATAGGCGTATCTAATTAGTTATTAATTACCTGAGGTAGGGTTCGGGTGCCGTGATCGAATGAGGATAAATGAGGCGCGAGTTAAGTACAGATTAGATACTTATACTTAGTGAGAATATATCGGCTTACAGTTTTAGGATAATCAGTTAATAAGTTTATAAGTTGGAGCTTTAACACTGATGTCTTCGGCGTCCAGTTGAAGTAGGGATAAGTCTAGACTCTAGAGTGTATCTTCTACTCTGACATTAATTTAGAGTTACTGTCCTGATTGTTAAGGACAGGAGTATGGGCGTATACACGACGGTTCTCGGCCCAAGACTGGCGTTTCCGCGTCTAGGCAGAGCTCATATAGCTACGCTAATTTACGTCACCAAGGACGTGATTTGATAAACAGGAAAGGCTAATACAAGGAAATGCTCATGAACATATCGCATGTGAAGGATCTTATCTTTCAACGAGGAAGACATCAATCAGGAAATATCAAAGGACAAATGGTATCAACATTGTTGCCTGACAAATCAAATATTAATCGCTCCATATATGCTTCATTTAATTAATTGACCGCTCCATATAATTAATTCTGGATATCGTTGAGATTAATAGCAATCAATTAATCGTTTAAGGCTTCCAATTTTTCATCAATGGAAATAAGCAATCAAATCTCTTATAAGTTATGGTTTGACAGCGAGTGCTTCGAATAGATATTTGGTACAATTATAATTTTTTAGTTATTATATAACATGACTTC